TCCAAACTAACCCTTACCCTAAATTAATTAAAAACAAAAAACACGTGACTGGACACGGCTTTAGACGTTCCCCAAATCAAGATTAATATGTAACATTTTATTAGTGGTGTCACCTATACTGCAAGAGATCCACCGCATACATGATGTATTTAATATAAGCCGCGAATTTTGCGTATTCTGATTTGAAACCGATATTTTTCTTTTGTTTGTAACATGATTAAACTTCATGATTTACACTTAACCAACTTTATACGTACTAATTCCAAATTACAGCATAAATTAAAAAGAATCTTAATATTACCCTAAAATGAGCAAAAGTGTTATCGTACTGTACATACAATAAATATAATATAATTCCATACAAAATTAATTTTTGGTTTCATAATCGGTCAGTTTTTTTTTTTTTATCGTTATGTACTAACTTTTTTTAGAGACAAAATCAAGTAACTGGCGTTATTTTTTTAGAATCTGTGTTATGAAAACCAAGAAATTAGTTTTGCGTGCCTTAGATTGAAAATAGAATTATTGTTATTATTATGTATTTTTTAAAAAAAAAAAAAAAGAAAAGCGAAAAAGTCAGGTGATTTGTTTAATTAACATCTATTTGATTTACAATCAAAATAGTTAAATGATTCTTTTTTAATTATAAAGAAAATTTTATAACAAAAGGAACGTATATTGAGCGGACTACTATGTATATATGTATATAAATAATAGAAACAAATTTATAATAACGCGAATTTGTATTACGAAAGTTTTTTTTTGTTCTATTCTAACATAATGATTTTTTTGCAAAAAATGATCTAAAACATGTTTCTCATAAAAGTACAAACAAACCATTGAGAAGGGTGAAAGATTAAATATTCGAAATTGTATCATTTTACATTATTTTAGTGCTAATAACGATGTGAGTAGGATGGAAATCACTGGGAATATTGTGATTACTAAAGAATTACCACTAGAGGCTTTTTGGGTAGTGGATGAATCAGCTGCTGATTTGGATGTTTGTTTATCTGGTTTTTCTGATGGGGTTGATGGGGTTGATGAGGCCGATGCGGGTGTTGATGTGGCATTAGGTGCTTGAGTGGAATTATTATCACCTACGACTAATTTGGGGTCACCTCCAAGTTCTAAGTAGGGTTTGGTATCTCCATAACATTGAGGGATCGTAGTCATCTTTAAATCTTTAACATTGACAGCTAATTTTAGGACTTCAATTGCAGCCTTTACTGTTTCATTATAAAGATCATGTTGAAGAACAATAAATCCTGTAGACATAGTCGGGAATATTTTCGTCCAATTATGAAAAGTATCGATTACAACGCTGATTGGTTCAGGTGGGACGGTGGTAAGTTTCCAATCATTGCTATCAAAATTCGGAACCCAGAGAACAGCTGTGTTCAAAATAAAATAATAATAACATAAATATTAACGTGAATAAATGAAAATACTTAAAATAAATAAATAAATAAAAACATACTTATTAACTTCATGGCACGTGTAATTTCACGAACGCGATTGTCAGTATCGCCAAATGGAGGACGCATGTATATAGGAGTAATGCCACAAACATTTTTGATAGCCTAAACGAAATAAATAAAATTTGGATAAAATTACAAAGTGTTTAAGAAAACCCACTTATATGTAGAAATTCAAATACCTTAAGTGTCCAATATAGTTCAGCAACAACTTCTTCGTTGGAAAGAGAAGTAAGAGAAGGATGGGACCAAGTATGCACAGCGATATGGTGACCTACAATTAAAGAATATAATTTAGAAGCTGAATGACGTTAAATTACGCGTTATATTAAAAATTATTACCTCTTTTACAAGTGTCTAAAAGAATCTGAGGATTAGAAACTACGCGGCTACCAACAACAAAGAACGTGGCTTTCAAATTGACTTGATCTAGTTCATCCAACAACAACGGCGTCGCCACTGATGGGCCATCATCATAAGTTACCCCCCAATTTCCTACTGTTGGACATTGTTGAATATCATCGTGAGCAGTATACTTTTGACAGGTCCAAGAACCCTGGTTTTCAGCGATTTGGGTTGAACCATTGCAACTGGGTTGATTATGATTGACTACACCACCATTAGAACGTGGAAGGTTTGGGACTTGACTTAAATCTAATGTCTTCAAATATGCTTGGATTTCAGGATCATTTGGATCGGGTGTTTGATCGAGAGCAGGATATACTTGCTGTGTGCCATTGATTGTCACCGTAACACTTGGTTGCGGTGCGGAAGAAGCAGCAGCTGGAGGATTATTAGTAGTAGCACTGGGTTTCTTATGGTCGGCAGCGTTCGCCGTACAAGTAATCAAAAGAATAGCTGCAATGAACGGGAGAAACTTCATTTTTATTATTTTAATTTGTTAACAATGTAAAGATATTATAATTTGTTGAAAAGTTAAAGATAATATTGTTTATTATTAATTTTTTTTTTTTTTTTTGTTTTCTATTGATTACAAAAGTTGGAGGTAAGAGAGAAGAATGAAGAATAAGGAAGGGTATGAGAAAACGAAAGGAAGGTTGGCCGAGGGTAGGCCTAAAAGAGAAAAGGATGAAAAGGAGACGAAAGTAGGGGAAACTTGCGACTCCAACTAAGAAGGAACAACGGGAAAAAAAAACGTTCCAGTTGATTAATCAAATTTCAAAAAGGAAGAGTAAGATTATAAAGCATTTACCACTTACTTTTAATAAGTCCTCGAACCAATATTTCTAGAATTTCTTGAACTGAATGTCGCACTGCGGCATTCAGAGAGGACGCATACATACATACATGCATCAACTAAATTTAATTAATTTTCACCAATTAAGAAAATACTCTTAAATTGGACGATGATACGATATTAATAAACTGGATAGTTATAATTAATTAATAACTTCGATGAGGGTCCTGCAGGTATCTACGTAAAGAAACCAACCAAATATTGCTGCTGGTGAAACAAAATACCGGTAATGTCGGGAACCGATGATAGGCGCAGATCACACCAATTTTAAGTTTTCTTTGGGACGCCAATATTAATATTGAGAGAAAACCATAGCGACTTAGTCCATACTAAAGTTCAAACTGATTTTAGACCGAACTTTAATTGAAGTGAGCCGGGAATTTTAACATTTCTAGGCTATCCATCCTATTCTTATGTATACTTATGTATACTTATCTGTTATGTAAACTTATGTATATCACGTGATCAAATCCGGATAAATCGTCTTGACAGTATATATATTTCGTATTAACGTTAATGCTGATGTATAATTACCGTTACATGTTCATATTCATATATAACAGATAAGAAAGTTTATATATGCGTACATACATAAGGAGCCATTACTAAAAGTGGCAAAATAAAACAATGAACTTTGTTTAAAATTTAAATATTTATAAGACAAATAATAATAAATTTAAATTTTATTTAAAACATAATAAAGCGTTTTTCAAATCTAAGATCGTAAACAAGATAATGTTGTTAATCACGTACGTACGTACGTACGTGCTCAAATTTATTTGATTAGGTTACAAAAGCGCTTATATACTAAACTAAACTAAACTATGCTTATCATTATTATTATTATTATTATTATTATTATTATTATGGATTTTTAATAATTTTTTAATTAATAATTTTTTAATTAGTTTATGCGCTAAGCTGTTTTCATGTGATAAAATAATTTAACAAATTTCTAGTTATGTCATATTGTACGTACAAAATTTGTTGCATAACGATAAATACACGTTATCCGGCAAACTCACGATCATGGATTTATTTCTTTGTTATTTTTTTGTGTCATGTCGTATTGACGTTTATTCGAATTAAAACTCAGATAGCCAATGACGACTTGAGAACCATAATCATGAATTGCCTAATATTGACCATGCGTTGATAAATCTCACCAATCGATCAAATGAATTTTATTATAAATTTTATACCCTTTTTTTTTTTTTTTTACCACTGCTTGTCAGCTTTATTCCCCGAAAATTTAAAAGATATAATGAATTTGAATAAGGACAAATAAGCATGAGTCCTGTTATGCCATTAAAATCCTAGTACCATCACCCTAAAAAAATTTCGCTACCAGCGTTAGGGGACTTTTGTTTTGATTCTATGTTACACCTGATCTTAGATTTAATTCGGTCCGACAGCGAAATTTTTCAGGGTGGTGACGCTGGGGTGGTTTTATGCCATCATAAGAAATGATAAATAGTAAACTCAGGTTTTAAAACTTGACATTTACCAATAGAAAGAATTCATGCTCCTTTTTTTCAAGTATTGGTTACGTTTAAATTAAATTATCATTGCGGATTACAAGCATTTAATTATTAATTATCATGATATTTTTCTTGGCAGTTTGCAAAATCCGGAATTAATTCAAAAAGTTCTTACCTGATCCGCCAAGAAATTTAGAATTCATAAAATTTTTATTTGAACGTACAAGTACGACAAAGTACTCTTTAAGTTGGGTATGATTGAAAAGTTTTTTTTATTAGTGAAATATTCCCCGGTTTAAAAAGTCGGTGTTACGTATTAGTAATAATAATATCTTGATCCGTTGGGAATTAGTGGAAACGATGTTTCCGCTTATTCACATACAGTCAGGATATTATTAATTAATCCTCCCGTGATCTTGATATAGTGATCGGGGGATTATGACAATGAAACTCCAAAATTTCAGATTAAAATACATCGGAGCTAGACAAAATTTGTGAATTGTAAACTTTAATGTTAAATAACTTGATAAAATATTTGGGATCTTTGCTAGGAAAATCACTCTTCGACATTTTCCGATCACGCTAATTCGGACAAATTCAAACCAACATACCGGTAAATCATTCTTCTTGCCTTTATTGCTTCAAAACGTTCATTCGATAAGCTATCGAATCAATAAGGGCAAAATTTGATTTAAAATAAGAACCGGTATGTTGGTTGAAAATGTTCCAAATTAGCCCGACCGGAAAATGCCGGAGGGTGATTTTCCTAGCAAAGATCTTATTTAATAATAGGCATACTTATATTATCTGATCTTTATACGTATGATGCTAATAATCTTATACGTAATTACGTAAAGAAATCAGAAATCGTCTAACTATCTAGCGAACCGTAAATATATAGACGATAAACTAGTTTGGCGTACTTTGACTTGAGGATCACGAGAATGCCATTTTTTGTATCTAAAGTTATAGCTCCTCGATGAGTATTCAGAATTTCTCAAAAAAAAATACATCTTCAGTTAATCCATGAAGTAATATTTGTTTCACAAAATTCTAAATATTTGTTGAGAAAATGCAATTTAAAAAAAAAACAACAGAAATTTTTAAAGAATGTTATTGGCAAGATATTATTTGATTGGCTGGTTTTTTTTAAAAACATAAACTTTTTTAAATTATTTAAATGGTGCAAATTTGTTGTAACAGATAATTTGTGCTGTAGTTGATGAATTTTTTATAAAATATTATTAGTATAATTTAATTTTGTTAATTTTTTATATATAGCAATATAACTTTTCTTAATGATTTTTTAGTCAACAATTTCAAAAAATTGATTTACTGTATATAAAATATAGAAGATACTGAAAGCAGGCAATACTTTTGGTTTTATATAAGTTGGTGTGTTATTTACAGGTTCAACAATAAAATTTTTATAACCTATTAGCAAGCTGATAGGTTTGATAAAGGTCATATATATCTTATAATATTTGTCTAATAGGTACTATTCAATAGGTTATTAATATTTAATGCATATTTATAACCTATCAGATTAGTACATCATCAGTAAATTTTTTAGGGTGATTAGTATCGATTATAATCTAAAGATATTAATCGATTAGCAACACCACTGTCGTAAGTAATCGATATAAATTAGAAATCGATAATAATCATATATACAATAAAAATCGATATAGATAAAAATCAATAGTTATCATTTAGTCAACAACAAACAACGACAAAACAAGCAAGACATATTTCCTTTTTAGGAATCAACATTATTATAGCAGTAAACAACAAACATGTAGTCTAAGTAAACAACAAATCAAGAAAACTGTACATGTATAAAGTAAACAAACATAAATCAAGAATATATACGTGCAAAATTAAACAAACATATATCAAAAAGGAGAAGCTTCTAGAAACAAATGGAACTTAATAAAGAAATACCAGTTACTGGTGGGCTCCTTGAATTTATACGTGGGACAGCAGGTAAAATACTTAAATATCTAAACAATAGTGAGTTGTTAGATATTCTACGTACAGCAAATCCTACAGAACCAGACGATATAGAGCAATTGGCAAAAGACTTTGCAATCAGCAATCCAGAGAGAATTACAATATTCGACATGCTTTTATATGGCCAAATACGTGATGCACTCAAGAAAGCAGAAAAGCTCTTGCAACAAGATACCATTAAGCAATGGGCAGTACAAGCGAAAATAGCAAGTAATAACCCATCATCAATAAATTATATG